GTATTCATATTTTAACATTGCCCTTGGTTACTCCGTAACCAAGTCAAAGAATCATTTTCCAAGGCAGAATAGATTTGTATTTTTAAAATTCTGGTCCAGTACCTGTGTTTAAATAGCAAAATACATGCCCGACACTGTTGAGTGCAAATGGCATGTGTAGAAAGTTAAGTTTCCAGGTTTGTCCACAGAAAACATGAAACAAGCAGTTGAGGAAGGATTGAAATTTGCCTCTGTGTTTATTGCATTGAAGCCCAGTCATATAAAAGCATGCAAACCATTCACAAGCAATGGTGACCTCTGTCTTTTACAGGCTGGTGTTCTTTGTACAAGTTTAAAAACTCTTTTAACGATAGTCAGCCTTTACTACTGTTTACTTCTCTATTTTTTAGTTCTATTGCTGTGCCAATTTGTCTGAGCTGTAGGTGTGCCATGTGTACATGGTAGTTAATGACTGCAAGTGAGTGGCATTTGTTTTCTTATCGTAAGGTTTGCCTGAACTGAATGTAAAAACAAATTACCCCTATCCACAATGACAATCTAGGGATGGCCACAAGTGTCACTGTTGCCTTCCTTATTTTCCTTCCCAGCAAGTTGTATCACTTAAACGTATTGTTCACTTTCTCATTTGTTGATAAACAGTAAACAAAGGCACAGTGGTATTTACTATGAGGATTCACGCTGTGGCGTGGAGCAATAATGGATGAAAGATCAACTGAGCAGTTTGCTTTGAGATTGTCAAGTTTTTTTATTATTATTCTTAGCTGAGCATTTTCTCCTGTTATCAGTATAGTAAATAATTTTCTTGTCTGTTATCAGTATTGTAAGTAAATAAACCGAGTTTCTGTAAATGGGAGGTCAAAGTGAAGTATGCATCAAATAGTTATCTTTCATGATGTTTTTAAGAGTTACTCCAAGTAGGTTTGGTTTTGTGCTGTTACATTATCCTAGCACTGAGCAACTGAGACAGTTCAGCATCATTAAGTAATGCCTGTCCACCCCTTCTAGAGAAAGCGATGTATCCTGTTGGTTTAGGTAGGGGTCAGCAACCTTTTTCAGCCGTGGGCCGGTCCACCATCCCTCAGACCATGTGGGGGGCCGGACTATATTTTGAAAAAAAATATGAACGAATTCCTGTGTCCCACAAATACCCCTGAGATGCATTTTAAATAAAAGGACGCATTCTACTCATGTAAAAACACCAGGCAGGCCCCATAAATAACCCAAAGATACATTTTAAATAAAAGGACACATTCTACTCATGTAAAAACATGCTGATTCCCACACTGTCCGTGGGCCAGATTGAGAAGGCGATTGGGCCGCATCCGGCCCCGGGCCTTAGGTTGCCCACCCCTGGTTTAGGTTCTCTCCACAACAATTCTCTTTTAGGCCATTGAGTGCTAATTTACATATATGCAGGCTAGTTCCCTTTATGGACTTACTTCAAGGTTCAGCATTACTTGCAAAGCTATTCTGGCTACCTTTTTTTGCCTTGCACCACCAAAATGTGGTGATGATGATTAAACCTTCACTTTCGGGGCACCCCAGAGAGTTTTTGAAACGGTGTAACTCCTCACCCAACACACGACACTTCATGCATCATGTACTTTTTTCTACAATAAAAGGCACAAATGTTTGGGGCTGGTTCGTACCTCCACCCACCCCAGACCCCTCCAGATTTTGGTGGCATTATCCTCTCCTTGTGGCAGGTTCCTCCTGAATCATCAGATGATTTCATGAATTTTGAACTCTAGTCCCATATTTTTATTCTTGTGAAGGTCAAGAAATTGCCCCACGGGTGTATGGAAGGGGCGCTTCCCCTCACACAGCGCAACCTTGTGATTTGTACAATCCTTCCCCACCAAACTAACTCCAGCAGTCCTTGGTGGTGCTTCATGCTTGTCACAAATACTTCTCTCACATTCTGTAAGGAACTGTGACTTTTATGAAGCTTTCATTCGGCACAGCAGGAGAAAGGAGGCTAACCTGCAGCAGCACTGAACATTTCAAAGAGAGAGAAAATTAAACTCTTATTCAGCAGTATAGTGGTTTCTATGCCACACTTGCATGCATTGCTTAATAATATAAGAGGATAGAAAAAATGTTTTTAAAGGGGAGAAAAAAGCACTGACCAGAAACATCAAAGTGGGCTTTGATCTGTGGGGATATTAATTATAGTGACAGCATCATGTATGTGCCAAACTGCATAAAAACCTATAAAGGCAGGATAGTGGTTTCCTTGTATATATTTACACTGGGGTTTTTTACTGGTCATTATGGTTCCTTTTGCTATTGTTCTTCTCTCTGTTGTCTAATATTCTCTCTAGATGATTAATACTTAAATCTCCTCAGACCGATTTCTACCTTCCTTTGGCCCTGACTGGTTGCTTTTTCCTGCTACTTCTAATATTTGCATTGGGTTTGTTTAAAATGTACTTGAATGTCATTCAAATGGCAGTTTTCTGTGTGCCCATTATAAAACTAGAAAGTGCCAATGACTGAATAAACTTTTGTCTTCCCTTTGAGTCTTCTGTATTTGCAGCCAGTGAATGAATCGATCCTTTGTTTCTCTCTGGGTGCCATTAGCCCCAGTTATATTATTTCAACAGTGGTGTGAGGGTTGCATTATTTTGCACTTCCAAATTGGTGTGCATCCCTGTTGCATGATCAACTGTAAACAACAGTAACAAAACAAAAAAATGCAACATCACAGAAGAGCAACCAGAGCCTAGGTCCGAAATGAAATTCCTCATATGTCCAATTCAGATTAAGCATTTTTTTTTCATCTTTAAAAACCATTAGTAGGAGAACAGGAATTCTCTCTAAGCTTGATTACTCCCTTTCTAACCTCCTTAACATGCACTGATAAAATGGTGTGATAGTGTGTGGGGAGATAGTGATTGAGGGCTGGTTAATATGGCAGTTTTAGTACTCTGGTGATGGACAGGAAGAAAAGAGAAGGAATTGGAGAGGGGCAGGTGGAACTGACTGGAAGTAAATGGTTTTAAGATATTTTCTTTTAAAGTTATGCCCAAATGAGCCAAGACAGTCATTACACAAGGCCACCTAAGAGTACCCTTCCCTGAGCACATATTGCTGACAGGATGTGCAAAACAGAATGGACAAGGCCAGCTAAAGAGAAGAATTCCTTCTGGTGATGAACAAGCTTTATTCTCTGCCAGAAGAGGTCACAGAAAATCTTACGTTGCTGTGGGTGGGGCCTCCCATGGCGCCATTGACATCCACTGTAGCCTTCCTGTGACAAGAGTAGAGGTTTTGAAGCCTCTGCTACAATCCGTTGTGTCTCAGTCACAAGTCTGGTATGTCAGTGGCCCAAAGAATTGGCGGAGATGGAAAACACACTGAAAACTGTGATGACAATGGAAGATTGTTCTCTCAGCAGCCCTAATTTATCCTTTGATGTGGTTCACCTGGAGTCACTGGTTATGGCTGGCAACATGGTGGCCTGAATAAATTTGTGGGTGAAAATCTAGGATGTTGACTCCCAGATGACAAACTAGCTACCTCTGCCTAATCAGACAGTGCTGTTTAGTGCATCCCTTGAGCGAGTTCTCATCAAATAACAGGAGGGAGGAGAAATGTAAATCCCAGCAGCCAGTTCAGATTTTTGCACCTACAGCCAGGGACTGGAGGAGTTGGGTGCAAATGGAACCATTCCAGAGGATCCATATGAAGCCCCCACTCTGCATTGTTCAGTGCATCTCCCTCCTCCATCTTCTCCAATGGTGTGAAGCATTTCTCTTCTTTGTGCAAATGGCACCAGACCATGTTCAATGTTTGGATTCAAGTGATGGTGCCCCATGGACTGGGGTTTGTCAGCTCATTTCATTGCCTCACCAAAATTAAAGAAGCCTGTGAAGCATCAGGCAGTTTTAGGAGTCCTTCGACATATATGGAGATCCAAGAGAGAACCTGTCCCACAGAGGTATTGAGAGGTGCATTGCATTATTTTCTGAGTGCCCCACAGTAATGGGAGCATGAAGGCCATTCTAGCTTTGAAATGGCTCAACACATTCCTTCTTGAGCAGCACTTCAAAATGGAGACTCTCATATTCATTGTAGGAGCAATATCAGACCAGGACTTCTTGAATCCTAATGGATTTGTTGAAAGTTTGCTTTCACATTCCCATCAGGTCCAGCTTGCTTACCACACACTCCTGCTTCCAGTATAAAGTCATCCTGTTTAGGTTGACTTCAGAGTCTCCATAGAGGTCAACCTAGCAGTCCCAGTCACAGCAACATTTGTTGGGATGGACTGGCCACCTGTCTGTTAAGGGAGCCTCGGTGCATACCTTTGCTGAACATTATCTTACTATATAATAGAAGCACCATCACACTTTTCATTGGCTGTTTTCCAAGGTTCTAAAGGCATAAATGGGCTTAGGCTGTTGTGATAGAACAGTGTGATTGGGCATGATTTCTTTCACATGTTCTTACATATTTGTATTCTTCCAGATAGAGGCAGTCAATAATATTCAAAGCAGGTAGTTGAAAGGATTAAATGATTTTAACCTAAACATAAGTTCCCACTCTTAAAAATCCAGTCTCCCAATTTCCCCACTTCCCATCTAGCAACTCTTCACAATTAAGGGCTGCAGTCCTAATTTAATTTTCTCAGGAGTAAGCTCCATTGAACCCCATGGAAAGTCACTTCTGAGTGCCCATGTTTAGGATTGCACTTTAAAATGCCACATGAGAGGTGGCCCACCTGCCCACCTGCCACCCTCCCCATGTATGTATGTATGTATGTATGTAAATAATATAAGCTCAGCAGGGGTTCAGGGCAGGCAGCAACCATAAAGAGAGGACCCAGGATGTGCAGTCATATTTTTCCTGCCTTATCCACAGGGTGGGGGGTAGTGTACTGGGGATGGGGGAGCCCAGTCAAAGTGTGAGTATTTTGACCACCACTGAGGCCACCATTCTCCCCACCCCCTCTGTCCAAACCAATGATTTTTGTTTTAAAGCATGAAAATACTTACCCTGTCAGCTGTGGTTCAGACTACATACCACATTCTCCAATTGTATCTCTCTCTCTCTTTCTCAGATGGTGATAGTTCTCAAAATAAAGTAATATGCAAAAACACTGCAGATAGCTCGGACTGCAACCAGTTGGATGCCTGTCTTGTTCTGGGACCTTTCAGCCCAGGGGAAAAAAAAAACACTGCTCATTCTCACAGCCTTGTGCATTATGATTGGCCACAAGTCATCCATACCCTCCTCCTCTATAAACATTTTATGGTCTTGGTTTTGTAAAGGGAGGGTGAGGCAAAACGGCTAGTTCTGAGAAGCAAGACACCCTAGTAAATATGTGCTGATATATCACATGTTGTGCTTTCCTGCTTGCTTTTATTCCCTGAGAACAGAGGATACAACCTTGACCCTTGTACTAATTTGCTATTGGAAATGTGTTTAAAAGAGTGGATTGACTGATTTGAGAAGACTGATAGAAACTAGTTGGAGAGCAATGCTTCTGTGTACCTGAAATTAGAAGCATGGAAACAATGTGAAAGACAGAGGGGGCACAGAATTCTTTGAGGGCCCCAAGTGAGATATCTCCACTGCAGGGACCTAAAAGTGTCCCACACTGAGTGAGATTTAAAGTGTCCCTTCCTTTAAATCTCTCTCAGACATTTACTACAGACGCACACTGAACATCCCTCCTATTCATATCTTTCCTTTCTTTCTTTCTTTCTTTACCTCCTCTGCACCTCTGCAAATACCCCAGCCACTTACATGCCCTTTAACCCCATAAACGTCCACCTCAGCCTCCTCCAACTCCCTGTCCTCTCTATAGCTTTCTCCTCCCGCCATCACTGGAGGCTGAATTCTCATGCACACCTCCCTTCCTCTTATTCCTCCAAATATCTCAATCTCTCCCAGCCTGTTCTACTTGCCCCTCCCCAATCCCTTTGCTTTCCCTCTGGCCTATTATCAGAGAACTAAAACTGTTGTATTAACCTGTCCTTCTGTGCTTTCCTCCCTATCCGTCCCCCAGTCACACTGTTTTCGCAGAGCAACCTCACACCTCACCTGCCTTTAGAACCTTGGAAAAAACAGCCAAGGAAAACAGAGTGATGGCACTCCTCTGGCAAGCTCCAAAATTAGAAATCCCTACATGCCTTTACTGCTTTGTCCCACAAGTCTTTGAACGAAACAAAAACAAAAAATCATGCTCTTGTAGGATGTTTACTGCCCTTCTGGGATTTGAATCTTGTCTGGCTTTTCAAAGCCCACAAGCCTCTCCTTGCACATGCATTCAAACAAGAAATAAACAGACCCTTAGGCAAAGTAATAAGTATTGCATGAAACACTACCGTACTTATCAGCATGCACAAAGAATAAAGGTTCCGTTCTGTCTAAAACCTTAGCAGCAGAGACTGGGAGGGTTGACAAAGACACAGACCTGTCCAGTTTTTACCTCAGAAGAATGCTAATGCAATTTCTTAATGTCCATCATGCTTTGTCATGGTGTTGTTATCTATCGAGTTTATTTATTTGATAAAATTTGTGTGCCTCTTGATTGGAAAAGAAAGAGAAAACAGCTGAATCGGCCAAACCGTTGCTGCTCAGCTAGGTACCCATCATCAGCATCTTACATAGTGAGCTCTGTTGCCATGGAGACAAATGGTGGGACCTTTTCGTACCCCTGCTTGGTTAGATGCCACATCATCCTAGGATGGAGAGCAATAGGCCAAGGGTGTGTGTGTGTGTGTGTGTGTGTGTGAGAGAGAGAGAGAGAGAGAGAGAGAGAGAGAGAGAGAGAGAGAGATGGTACTGGAAACTAGACTCGGAAGCTAAAGTCATGGTTTGGGGATCTTGGAAACTTAATGGGGAGACAAGATCTGTTGGAGTGTTAACACTGTGAACCCTTCCATCAGACTGTTTATATGTATAAATAAAACTGAATCCTAAAGACAGCACGGTCTCCATTGACCTACATTCCCAGGAAACGGAACCCTGGGGTAAGCACTGGAACGCCTGGGGTTTCTTGTCGCTTGGGTGCGTGCAACAAAGGACAGAAGTAATTCTCCTCTCCTTGCCTTGAAGTTCTGCATTTAATCCCCATCCCTCTGCCTTCATGACAGTGGCTCTCTTCCTTGCTGCTGGCATAAGCTTCTGTCTAGCTTAGAAGCGCTCAGTTGTCACCTCATTCAGCTCATGTGGTCCTGGCCGAGAGAACAGCCTCAGGCTCCATTCTCTCTGTCCTTCCTTTCACCCTCCATTCCCATAGCTCTGCTGGTGCCAGGAAAGGACGAGGAAGATCGAGCTAGACTGCTGTGAGCAATGCCAAGAACTGACACTGAATGTCTAATGGCAGCAGGAAATGGCGTGGATGCAGTTTTTGTGGCTTGTTCTGCATCTGAACCTGTACACACGAAATGAGACAGTGTTGTCCAAATGCCTTTATTGGTGTTTCATGAATGTAGGCTTTAAAAACAAAACACTTCCACTAAGTTGAGTTGATTGCATGCATCTAAGACAAAGAAAACGGGAGGGTTCAAATGTGTTTGTCCATCCAAGACCTAAATATGCAAAGGATCTGGGAACAGCTTAGCGATATCTGTGACTGTACTGGGTGATCAGTCATGGGCTTTAGAAACCTCCTTGGCTGCATCTGCTTGATGGCATGTGGAATAATGCACTTGGCAAACCAAGCAGAATCTTAATCTGTTTCCTTCATTATTTGATTTAAAGCAAATTGCTAGTCTTTGTGGCTGCAGAGAAACCCTGGAAGTTTGTGACCACACAGAAGATGGTAAGAAGTCTGAGTGGGGATCCTAGTGGCTAGCACTGGTGAGATTTCGGCCAGGCTTCGGCCCATCTGAAGCTGATACAGGCCTATCTTATCGGTTGAGCCCAAGCAGAGTAGTCCACCACAGCAGAAGGGATAAGCCAGTATGTGCCACATTCTTAACTTTTATTTCCACTCTATGCTGAGAGAATACAAACATGCATCTTGCCTCTGTGAGAAGCAGAGAAGCAACTGTCTGCTCTAACCAAAGAAACCGCAGGAAAACAGTGAAAAACAAGGAAACCAGATGTTCCCATCCCGTGGAATCCAACAGTAACTGGGACTGTGGAATGCAAAACAATGTCTTGTGACTGCAGTTGCTGCTCAGTGAGGGAAATAGAAACCAACAAGCACACGGTGACAATTTAGAGCCCTTTTCCAAAGATCCCAGTCAATATTTTCTTCTCCATGTTCTGTTCTCCTACACCTTGTAATTCAGGGCCGATGAACATCAATGAGGGCTGTGGCTGCATCAATTTGTTTCTGCCAGTCACATGCAGCTGTTCCCATGTGCAGGCCAGCATGACATCTGAGTTGGTAGCAGCACATTGTCATCATTCCTGTGTGTAGCTGCAGCTGCAGGGAGGCTTAAAGTTGGAAAATGCAATGGAAAACAAGCAAGGGGTTTGCAACTGATGGTTGATCACTGGAAATATGGAAAGTTGTTTGAGTAGAAAAATGAATGTAGTACTACAGGCTAGTTAGAGGAGTAATTATGCAGGACATTCCTTTCTTGTCTTAAGTGTGGGGTTTTCTGAACAGCATTGTCAAAGTACTCACTCATATTTTCGGAAGGACCGCTTCCCCGTGGCAGTTGTGTGTGGCAATTGTAATTATTGGCTATGACCTCATTTGCATGCACACATTTCCTATGGTGTCATCATGTCATATCCCTCCCCTCTCAACTCCAAAGTGAAGGCTGCGGTCCTACTTGGTTTTAACCTTGAAGCAAGCCTTCCTCCCCCACACCCCAACATAGTAGCACTTTTTTTTTTAAGCAAACTTGAATGCTGTGTAGAGGGAGAAAGCCAAGTGAAATGAAAGGAGAAGGAAGTTGTGTTGTTCTTTTGTATTTCACTGCTTAGCTCTCCAGAAAAGCAGGCAAGCTGCTACTCAGAGCAATTGGTGGAAGGGGGGGGGCAGTAAATTTGGGAAAGGCGGGGGACCCTTGGGGAATGTTCTCTTACTTGTTTCTTTATATTGGAAAAATGCCAAGACAGCAGCTAGGATGTGGAGCGTTGTTGGAGAGATGGAATTAGAAAGTGCAACTTGAAGGGACTCAGTAAAGCGGAATGAGAAGGGAAACCCAGAATCCTGAACCCGCTCCTCATCAAGAGGGGGAAAGAAGTAAAGCAAACTGAGTGACAACAGTGAGCAATTAAACTGCAACCTGGCAGGAATGCTGGTGCCTTGTGCATTAGCTTTCTTGAATGGGAAAGAGCACGCGCGCACACACCTCATTCAGTCTGCAAGGCTGGCTCTGCTAGGGGCAGGCAGATGACATGCCGCTACTACACAACCCAAAACATGCAGATTCTTCTAGCAGCAACAGGCAAACCATTTCTGTTGCAGCTGCCACGTCTAGGCATCTGACTGTGCAAGGTGGTAAGTAGCACCGTGTCCCCACCACTGCCACAGCCACAGTGAAACAGTCTCCTTGCTGGCTTTGCCACGATCATGATGCTCTGTCCTTTCCCTTTCTCCTTCCAGCCAATTGGAAGAATGGAGACGGAGAGGCAGTACAGGGAAAGCAAATAGTTCAAGGAACTCATAAAGCAGCTTGGCGCTCTTTCACCCTCCGTTCTTTTTTTATAGAGTGGCAGCTTACTCCACCCAGGAATCGAGAGAGCTGTTTCATCCAAGTGCCCAAAAGCCAGCTCAAAGAAACAATAGCCAGCGGCCAGCAGCAGCTGTAGTCATGGTTGTGTGTGGAAGCAGGGGGGAGAAAGGTGTGCCCTTCATTTGCTACCTAAAGCAATTTGCTTGCTTTCTTTCCCCTCTTGATGAGGAGCAATGCTCAGTTTGCCTCATTATAGATTCCGCTCTCTTGAGAAGTAATCAAACAATCTAAACCTGCAAACAGAAAGTGTTTGCTTAAAGGCAAGGAGCTCTTTAAAAACCTCGGCAGTGGTTTGCTTGTGTACACTAAGCAAGCTAGTGCTGCAGTTGTGTGTTACAGAAATATTGCCACACATCTAGTGGGGAAATAACCAAGGTGAAAACAAACAGCCTGGAATACAAGCAGCTTGATGAGGACAAAGTATGGACACGCCATTACTTGTTAGCTGTCTTGAGTTCCTCTGAAAGTAG